CTAATTAAATGGAGTGTTCCAAAGTGGACAAAGATTATGGTTTTTGAAGGAAAAAGCCAAAAGCCTTCTGTTATAGGGCCTATTTCACAAGAAAGCAGGAAGGTAATGAAATGACTGTTAGCCTGCTATTTAGTAGGAAATTATCAGAGGGTACTGCAGCACTTATCTTTGGGGAAGTGGGAGCTTCAAATCCAAGTAGCAGAGTACCCAGGTGGGGATTCTGCTTAACGGCCTGGCAGTGATTGACTAACACTGTTTGAAATCTAACTCATGAAAACTATTTCAGACAAAGAAAATCCTGTACAAAGGCAGATGATCATTATAACACTATTAGCCTTACAATACACAAATGCAAAGAAATTTTGAAAATCTGACTACTATCACTTCTGGGCACTTTTGGCTAAGATCAAGTGTGAAAGTCTGACCATAAATCAAATTGTAAGATTATACTATAAACCTATCAATATAAACATGGACAGTGTCCAAACTAAGAACTGGAACCAAAAATGAGACACTACTGTTCTATGAATTGTTAAACTTGAATTCATTAATATTACCAATTTGTCTAAGTCTACAAATCAACATTTATACAATTCCAGCACAAGTTTTTTTTCAAAAAAATGCATTCCCCAGACATATTTCTGCCATTTGTGTTAAGACACTTAGCTCTCAGGGCTAATGGATGTGCCCAAAGAAAAATATAGCCAGGTCTTTCTGATTGGACCAAACTCACTTATAATGGAAGGCACAAAATGGCGGTATACAAATTACCTAAAGATACTAAATGGAAAACCTCCAGTTTGTAGACAAAATTATGTGTTTGCCCATTCATTTCAGAATCCTGCAAAACCCTAAAATTGAAGTAATATAGAAAATTGCAACCGAAGAAAATTTCTCAATTCACTCTACTACGTTGGAAAATCTGCTTAAACAAATCAACCCATTTTGCTTAAATTGGGACTAACCCATCTATGAATAGACTTAAGATCAGAGTGCCATTTCAGGTGTCCACTAACTCTCACTTAGCTGTAACAATCTGGAAAGATGGAAAGGGCACAACAGTCCCAGGAGCCAACACACTGGGTTCTCGTTGCTGCCACCAACTTACTCTGTGACCTTGAGCAAGTCACTTGTCCATTCAAGGCCTCAGCCTCCACTCTTTGGAAGAGAACTTTTGGGTTAAGTGCTTGTTCTTTTCAGTTTTAAAATTCTATAAAGCTGCTTAAATGTGGTGCTATGCTAACTCTACACAACTTCTTTATTACACCAGGTCATTTTATGCCTTCCAGAACAGCTGAGATGCACAAATATACATCACTGTAGTGTGAGGGATAATTAGGAAAATCACTCCTTCATCCCCTACAGAGGGTAAGTAAAAAATGTGCAACAAAGGCAGGAAAAGGAGGGGAGGAACATTATGTCTTACAGTCCAAGTTTCAGTAAGACTTATTCTTGCTTATTTAAAATGGGCCTACATTGAATTGGGACCTTGCTTCTCTGAGAACAAGTTGCCTGTGGATAACAGTGTCTTGTTTCCTGCGGCTATTATCTGATCAGTCCACCTAGAGTAAAATGTGTCACTGTGTCACCTTTAGGAGGAGACTTGACAGGGGAGATTATTCCAAGTAAGCCCAGTCAACTATCCAGCATACAAATAGCCTAAGTGTGTAGTAGGGTGTTGGAGTTCAGGAGAAGAATAAAATCGGGATCCTTCCTCTAGAGTCCAGAGTCTTTTCAGGAAAAAAAAAAAAATCTAACGAAAAAAGAAGCCATAGCAAAGTGAAACTGAATGCTGAGCTGATTTCTAAGGCATGTAAATGCTAGAGAGCATCCGAGATGGAGGCCATAGTGTACCTGAGCATTTGGAAAAGGCCCTTGACAGAAGCAGTCAGGATCAGGGCTGAGATGGACGGATGTGAGGAGAGGCAAAAAGTAGGAAGCCAGGTATTCCTGTGGGAAGTCTTCCTGATCCTCTACCTCCCTCAGGCTCAGAACTTTCTCTACTCCTAATTTCACATTCAATATTCTGATCTCCAAAACTTCAGAGAAATAAATATTCTGTGCCACCAGTCACCTACAAATGTTCTTTCAAAGTTGTTGGAGAAAAAGAGCTGAGCATGATGACCCAGACATAGTGCCTGCCCAGATAGGGGTCCAGGTCGTCCACTGCCTGAGGCGAACACGCTCCACAAATAATACCCAAGAATTTCTCAACTTGATCTCCAATGATTAAATTTATATTTTGATTCAAAGTCAAGGCCAGATGACTATTCTGTATCCTCTGAGAATACTTTCTAGATGAGTGAAGTCAATCCTTTAACTGTTAGTTGTTTCTGTTTTGGAAACTGGCAAATCTTTCAAAAGTATACTACATACTTCCCCTGTTTTCTTAAGCCAGAGTGGTCTTAAATAATTTTAATCTTTGATGAGAATTAATTGGCCCTTTGTCCACATGACACCCTCAGGCTGTGAGATGTGTACCTTACTTACATAATCCCTGGCTGTAGTGGCTTCTTTTCTTTTTTGGGGGGTAGGGGATACAAGAGATTGAACTCAAGACCTTGAATTTACAAGGCAAGCAGCACACCACTGAGCTAAATTTCCAGCCCCTTTAGTTTCTTATGTCAATGTTTTATAATTATTGTTTCCTTTTTCATGATTAGAATGGTGGATGTCACTACTGGCATACTTATTTAATATCTGTTCAATCTAGTATTTCCACCGATTCTTTAAATCTATTTTCAGAAGCACGATATGAGAATGTTTATGACAATCATTTGCAAAGCAAGAGTAAGAAAACTCCAAACTAGGACTTACCAGTCTCTGAGTAATATTCATGAGTTTTAAAAATATGTTTCTTTCCCTTCCTACTTAGCATTCAATGTCCCACATAATACCAGTAGCTAGAGAAGAACTTCAGGGTGACTTAATGTGAATACAATCCCAGGGAAGAGAATTCCCTGGGTATACACTGATTCTGAGCTCCAGACAGCAAGCACTCACCTCCAAGACTAATCACATTTCCTGTGTTATACATGTTTATAGAATTGTTTCTTTACTTCAGGAGATGTAACTGTAATAATAATTCTAGTTGTGATCATTTGATTGATGTTTGCATCCTCCGATAGACTGCAATTCTCAGGAACGAAAGAACCACGACTAGTTTTGTGCACCATTCTATCCCCAGTACCTAGTCTTGTCAGTGCTCAACACTCTTTGATGTCCATTCATTTTGAGATAATGACTGAAGGGACACAATTCTGGGCAAGTCCAGAGCCCAGAATTCTGGTTGCACTGGAACTGTCTTATGTGATCTTACACAGAACATTAAACCTCCTCAAACTCAGTTATCACCTTTGCAACATAGCCAAAAATGTTCATCTATTTTTAAATTTCTATTCTATTTAAATACAAGGAAAGGAGGGCTGAGGATTTAGCTCAGTGGTGCTGCCACCTATCTTGCAACTCCAAGGTCCTGAGTTCGATCCCCGGTATAAAAAAAATTAATAAATTAAATAAATAAATAAATACAAGAAAAGGAATACAAGATTCCAGAATAGGCCCGGTGGGAAACAATATGAGAGGAAATTCCAGGGGGTTGGTTGACTACCTCCAGGATAGCAGGAACAGTTCCTGGTTCTGAGAAAGATGATTTCTCTAAGTTGATGTAGCTTTTGGAAAATTTATGAAAGAAAAAAGTTCCTCATTGAAATCCTTTCTTCCATGATGCCTTCTTCTCTGTCTTGACTCCCAAATGTTGGAATAAACATATCTATCTATCTATCTATCTATCTATCTATCTATCTATCTATCATCTATTTATCTATATGAGGTCATTTTCATTTCTCAGTCTATGAAAATGCAAATTGTCTTCAACAAAAGGCAAAGGTTGGCAACATCTGGAAACAATGTATCATTAACACATTTCTAATGAGGTTAAAAGAGAAATGGTGACAGGTACAATAAATCAACAGATCTGAGTGGATACTCTCAGCACTGCCTATGAAGACTTCAGCTACTCTGTGGACAGCAGTAACTCCTCAACTGCTGGGGGTGAGCAGGTTTACAACAGGGCAGGAAATGACCCATGTCATAGCACTGAAAACATGTAATCTTAGACAACATGAGTACAACTGGCAAATTAATGTTCACGGGCACTTCTTCCCCAAACAGGGGATGGTGAAGGAGATGGGCAACCACATGCCTTTGAACACTAAACTTTCCAAAGCCTGCATACTAAAAGGTCTTCACATGGTAGTTATTATTTTAAATTTAAAAATGGATGCATATATATAGCACTGAAAACATGTAATCTTAGACAACATGAGTACAACTGGCAAATTAATGTTCACGGGCACTTCTTCCCCAAACAGGGGATGGTGAAGGAGATGGGCAACCACATGCCTTTGAACACTAAACTTTCCAAAGCCTGCATACTAAAAGGTCTTCACATGGTAGTTATTATTTTAAATTTAAAAATGGATGCATATATATAATATATAACGGTCTATGAGTCGTACTCATATAAACGATTGGTACAGACTGAACTTCAGGGAATGGGGTATGGAGATGCTTGGTGGTTAAAGAAAGACATTTCCTAAGGGTCCCACCCAGAGGCACCACTGGGCTCCCAGCCTTACCTCAGTGGGTTAAGTGTACAAACCCCGTTCCTACAACACTTTGTAATAAAAATCATCATTTGGATACCCCACTTCATGAGAGCAGGATGAAGTAAGGAATTCACTTTGGGATCAAATTTTAAGAGAACAAAGAACAGTACTGTTTTTTTCTTTTGGCTTGGGTCTCATGGGGCTCGGTGGGACACTTCTCTGATTCTTACTTCCTTTTGTTCCGATGAAACACACTCTGAGTATGTATAATGGATTATGCAAAGGAGGCAATTTTGTGTTGGATGCTTCACTGTGTGCAAGGGGAGTACTGTGGGCAAGCACCCAGGACCACAGCATTCAAAAACTGTAGAAAGTCAGGTTATCTCTCACCTGACACTCTCTGATGTCTTCTGCTTTCTGTTGCTGTGACAGAAAATTACAAAGAAGATGTTTATGCAGCTGACAATTCGAGGGGTCAAGAACATGGCACCAGCAACTTCTTGGCTTTTAGCTAAGGCCATGTGCTGCTCTGTGGAAGAAAATCAGAAAGGAAACATGTACTTGAAGATGAGATCACACAGCAAGGGAACAAAAAGAAAACCAACTTAATTTTATTAACAACCTCCTCTCAAAATAACTAATCCACCCCCAAGGTAGCTATGTCAATCCTTTCATGAGAGTGGAGCTCCCGTGATCTAATTACTTCTGAAAGGTCCCAATAATTCTTTTTCTCTCTCTCATTGAGTTTATTAGTACATTTCAGGTACACAGTACAGTTACATTCATCATTGAGATCTTGTACCTTTACATGACAAGTTATGGTTCTCATTTTTTCCTCTTGTCCCTGCCCTCCCTTCACCCCCTCTTCTCCTCCCCTTTTACAAATACTTTATTTCCATCTTTTCATTTTCTCATATATTTTTTTCCTTTTACCTTATTACCTTTCCCCTACCCTTCCCACTTCCCCTACACCTTTAGCCCTTTTCTTCCTATTTCACACTGTCAATTATATCATTAGGATCTTATGTACCATTATAGTTTTTCACACCAGAGAAACTATTCGGTATTTACACATGTGTGACTTGTTTATTTCACTTAGGAGTATATCCTCAATATGTATCCATTTTCCTGTGAATGAGTCTAATTTCTCATTCTTTATGGCTGAGTAGTATTCAATTTTATAGAAAAACCACATCTTCTTTATCCAGACTCCAACTGATGGGCAAATGGGCTGTTTCCAAGTTTTAGCTATTACAAACTGTGCCACTATAAACATAGGTGCACATATATCACTGTGATATGATTCTTTTAATTCTTTTGGAAAGATACCCAGTAGAGGGATGGCTGGGTCAAATGGAACCTCTAATCCCAGCTCTTGAGGTATCTCTATATTGATTTCCATAGTGGTTGCACAAGTCTGCACTCCCACCAACAATGGAGAAGGGTTCCTTTCTCCCCACAATCCCGCCAACATTTGCTATTGTGTGATTTCTTGATAGCAGCCATTCTTTGTAGGGTGAGTGGAATCTCAGTGTTGTTTTCATCTGCATCTCTTGAATGACCAGTGATGTGGAACATTATTTCATATATTTACTTGCTGCTTTTACTTCTTTGTCTGAGAAAGGTCTGTTCATTTCGGATGCCCATTTTTGAATCGGGTCTTTATATTTGGGGGGTTTGATTGTTCAACGATAAAAACCATATGATCCTCTCAATAGATGCAGAAAAAGCATTTGACAAAACTCAACACCCATTCATGATAAAAACCCCTGCAAAAAATTGGAATAGATGGTCTATATCTCAACTTAATAAAGTCTATCTATGAAAAACCAACAGCCAACATCATGTTAAATGGCCTAAAACTGAAAACCTTCACAATAAAATCTGGAACAAGACAAGGATGCCCACTATCACCACTCCTCTTCAATATACTTCTGGAAATATTAGCCACAGCAATTAGACAAGAGAAAGAAATTAAAGCAATAAAGATAGGAAAGGAAGAAGTTAAACTGTCATTATTTGCTGATGACATGATACTCTACATTGAAGACCTAAAAAATTCCACCAAAGACTTCTAGAGTTAATTGACACTTTTAGCAGAGTAGCTGGATACAAGGTCAACACTCAAAAATCAATAGCCTTCTTGTACACAAATAACAGACTGACTGAGAGAGAAATTAGAGAAGCAATTCCTTTCACAATAGCATCTCCAAAAAAGAAGTATCTAGGAATCAATCTAATGAAAGAAGCAAAAGACCCTACACTGAAAACTACAGCACTATGGAAAAAGAGATCAAAGAGGATACAAGAAAATGGAAAGATATCCCCTGCTCCTGCATAGGAAGAATCAACAGTGAAAATGGCCATACTGCCAAAACTGCTATACAATGCAATGCCAATTGAAATTTCAACACGTTATTTCACAGAACTAGAAAAAATAATCCAAAAATTCATTTGGAACCAGAAGAGACCTAGAATAGCAAAAGCCATCCTAGGCAACAGAGACATGGCAGAGGGTATAACAATTCCCAATTTGAAACTATACTACAAAGCTACTGTGATAAAAACAGCATGATACTGGCAAAGAAACAGACCTGAGGATCAATGGAACAGACTGGAAGACACAAAAACAGATGTACTCAGCTACCTCATCTTTGACAAAGGAGCAGACCATCCTCACTGGAGGCAAGATAGTCTCTTTAATAAATGGTGTTGGAAAAACTGGGTTTCAACCTGCCAAAGATTAAAACTAGACCCTTATCTTTCACCATGCACTAAACTAAAATCCAAGTGGATAAAAGATCTAAATATTAAAAAAGAGACACTAAATTTGCTGGAAGATAAGTTAGGCAGAACTCTTCAAGACATTGGCATTGGCATAGGAAAAGACTTTACGAAGAAGTCCTCAGTAGCATGGGAACTAGCAGAAAGAACCAACAACTGGGATCTCATCTTATTAAAAAGCTTCTGCACTGCAAAAGAAACCATCAATATAACTAAAAGACAACCTACAATGTGGGAAAAAACTTTTACCAGCTGCTCCTCAGACAAAGGACTCTTATCTAGAATATATAAAGTTCCCAATAATTCTTAATGCTGCTGCAATGGGGCCAAGCCTCAACATAAGTTTTTTGGGGATAAACCATACTCAAACCATAGCAATTTCCAAAGGCAAAAAAGGGGGCTCTCAATGGAGCACAAATTATGCTTCTCTTTGTTGTACCATTCTGCACACTGAAATGTCAAAATCCTGGGCACAGTCTTTACCAAAATGCTGGGAAGAGGAATAAAAAGAAGGGGAACACAGTGAGCCATTCCCTTTGCTGAGAACTGAGAGAACAAAATAAATGGTTACATGGAAGGCTCTGTGTTCTGAGACCACTTTGAGTATTCCTGAGAACCACCCCCTTATCATGGGGGGAATCTCATCAGTGCCATCAGTCAGATCAGGGTGGCATCAGGGTAAATTCTGAGCTCTGTGCTAAGGTAGCAAGGCAGGAATGCCAAAGAAGGAATGCTCCTTAACTTGAGCCAACCGGAGGGTATTTTTGAAACTGAAATCAATCCTATAGAAGATAAATGAAACAGGGCCACTTCTGAACCCAGTGCCTGTACTTTGGCCAGACTGCAAGACAGGCCATGTTGGTGAGGGCAGGGCTAACCTCAGCTATCTGCTAGGTGATAGTCCGCATTCCTGGTGCATCAGAATGACTGCAGTCCGGCCTGTGACACCACAGACTAAGTTCAGCAGCAGTGTCTGACAACTATTTTCCTACTCTACTATAAGATTCTTGATCAGTAAGAATTTTAAGTATTTAAGGATAATATAATAAGCTTTTGTAATAGATGGAATACCCATCTAGATGAATATTCTGTGGGCAGAAATCCTATGAAACATTCCATAAGAACTTTGTTGATTTTAGGTCTTGTGACCTTTGTATATCCATTGTTGTTGTCACCTTTGTATTTCCGTTGCTTAGGACAATCACAAGGTGTGCATTCAATAAATATTTGTATGAATGAAATTTAAGCTAACGAGGAAGAGAAAACCTTTTCCAATGTTAAATCATGATTATAATACACCTTTTAGAAAGGTCCCAAGTCTAGTAGGTCCTGTGTTGCAAAGAACTGCCCAATAAAATTAAGAATAGAAACTGAAATAGCATGAAATCAGTTGTTTAATTCTAGGTTGTGGAGACAGAAAGCTTGAGAGGTAAGTGCAGTAGCTGCCCATTGGGAACAAAAACATTAAAATCCTTAACAAAAGAACACCACTTAAAGACATCCTGCTCTCAAGAGGCGATGATAACAGCTATCCTTGTGAAGTAAAGCCCATTTATCTATCCCAATGACTCCTGACCTATCTTCTCTAAAAGGATATGCATAGAATTCGCAGGCCAGAAAACTGTCTTGCCAAAGCTGCAGCTGTAAAAATAATACTGAACACAATACAGGTGCTCCGAGATCTATAAGGTGCCAAATGATCCAGGAAAAGGTATTCTTTAAATATTCACATTCGCTGCCTACACCCTTTCTCCATATCCGTAGCCTATAAAAACTCCAATCTCTCAACTTGACTGCACGATTCCTCTCTTGGAAACTCCCCCGATCTAAGTAAACTCGTCTTCGCTCCGTGCCTACATCACCAGCCTCTAAACGCCATTTTCCAGTCAGTACCATTCCTGAGCAACTGCAGATAAGAGGCCTCTGCTGTGATTACCAGTAATTAACGAGTCTGGGAGGCCCCGACAGGGGTGGAAAGACGGGCAATCCGAGTTAATCGTATGGATAGTGCTTAATCCTATGGATGGTGCTTAATCCTTAGAATTCTCTAAGGATCCCACCAAAAAAAAAAACCCTTTAACAGGAGAGAACTTATGAGTAAACAAGGAGAAAATATTGTTTATTATCTTTTTGTATCGATGGGTCGACTTGCTAAGCTAGAGGAAAGTCTGAAAGTTATCGAGTCAGCTAAAGACTGCAGCGTTGACTCGTCTTCCTAGCATGACATAAACGGACCTGGTACCTAAAAGACACTTTAAGATCGCAGTGGCTCCCAGGAAGGCAGAATCAGTTCAGCCCAGTGGGTGGAGCTGTCCGGATCGTCGTCAATCACCTGGTGTTCACACCCCAAAAGGGCTTTCGAGGATCGGTGCCAGAAGCGGCCGGGTGCTGGGCAATGCCAGTAAGTCACCGGCCGCTAGGCCCCAGAGCCCTATATTCAGCGAGCCAATCGCCACGGAGTTGGGGCGGAACCTCGAGGCACCCGACCAATAGAAATACAGGGAGCGAGGGGCGTGGCGGAGCGGCGGGCCTAGGAGCGGCGGCTGAGTTCGCTCCCAAGTTTGGGGAATGTGGAAGGCTCCGGGAGCTGAGGCCGGCGCAGAGGCGCTCGGCAGCGCACTCTTCCTGCTGCTTTTCGCGCTGGCGGTCCGCCAGATGCTGAAGCAAAGGAGGCCGGTGGGCTTCCCCCCGGGGCCGCCGGGGCTGCCGTTTATCGGCAACATCTTCTCCCTGGCCGCCTCAGCGGAGCTTCCGCATGTCTACATGAGAAGGCAGAGCCAGGCGTACGGCGAGGTACCGGCCCGGCGGGCAGGGTGGGCCGCCGTCCGGAGCTGGGGCCGGCGCT